TACTGACCCTCACACAGCAGCTCAGTCACACCTGACACAGTGCTGATATCTGCACTGAAATCCTTGACATCTGTGACTCTCGTCTTTCCTAGGAACCCATGAGCCCCATGAGGACAGATCCTCTGCATTTGGGTGTCCCTAACACCCAGCACAGTAACAGGAGCAGAGAAGGTGCTTGAGAAATGTTTAAAGCATGGAACAATAAAGGAGAGTTACATTCACAAGTCAAAGGACTCTTATTTCATCTTGCTGGTAAGAGGTAGAGCGGCCATTCAAATCAAGGCATCCTGCCTTTAGAGCCCACGTTTCTAACCACTGCTCATGGAGCCCTTTTCATGGCATATGATCTCAGTGTGCAAGGGCTCATTATAGACAATAAAGTTCTTAGCCTTTAGCCAAACACTGAAAGCCTTCGCTAGACTGGTCCTAACCTGCTACTTCAACCTTATTTCCCAATATTTGCTACTGCTCACGTAGACACTTCACTCCAATGTTCCCTGTTAGGTCAAAATTCCCCTCCTGAGTAATCACTTCACTTCTCTCCTGTCTTCTTACTCCCAAATCTCAATTAGCACAGTTTTAAAGACTTACTCAGAGGCGAACTACTCCATAAACACTTTTCCATTCTTCTATCTTGATTTTCTCTCTCCTGTTTCTGAATTCTCAACGAACACTTGGTGGACATTGCTTAAGTCTCTTGTCACTTTCTGTCTTGTGGTGATAATATAACATCACAATCCTCTAAACATACCCTATTAGACTATAAGGACCTCAAAGGTAAAACCCCCATCTGCGCCCACCACCATCTAGCAGAGCAGCCTGCATATTATCATAGGCATATATATATATTTTTGTTTTCTACATAACGTAAATTTTCTTTAAATAATCCTGGCCTCAACTTATATTTTGTTAATTCTGTGTACTTAGAAGGGAATGTTCATCTCTTATTTCCCATCTGTCCAAAGCTAATTTCCACCATAAACGCTCTTCTAAATAAATATATAGGCTGGCTAGCTTTCCTCATCTTTTACAGTGTGGTGTTTAAATGTACAAATCTGGATTCTAATTCAATTCTACAATATATTAGCTGTTGACATTAGGCAAATTCATATTTTTGTGCCTTAATTTCAAAATCTGGAAATGACAGTAGTATCTACTTCACAGGGTTACATTTTCCAGTAAGATTTGAAATGAGTTAATTCCTATAACATAAATAAAATACAGTGCTGCCATATAATAAGCACTCAAACGTTAGTCATTTTTTCCAGATACTCAAATGGTTAGTAATCCCCATTGGCAATGATTATTTACCAATTGGTGACGTACGTTCTATTGTTGCTAGGAACGTAAATTTAAATCAAGTGTTATTAATGGATTTTTAATAAGCATATCTTATTATCTTAAATAAACTACAAGCCCCAAGAGCATGGGAGAACTTTGAATATTGAGCATATTCTACATGCCAAGAACTTGGCTAAGGGCTTTCTATAAATATTTCATTCATTTCTCACAACAACAGTATAAGCTAGTTATTATTCCCATATTACAGATAAAACAAAACAAAAATGAAGATTTGGAGGGAATAATGCTTGTTCAAGTTTTCTAAGCTACTAAGTAGTAGAGCTTGGACAGTTCTTGAAGGCAAAAATAATAACTTATATCTGTTTCTCAGTGTTCAATATATTGAACAATTCATTCATGCAATCTCCATCTATGTTTAGTTTTCTTTGTGGCTATATATTTGGTTGCTATGATATTTGAAGCCTAAATACTTGGTAAGTCGGCTTTTCCTTTTTAATAGGGCCTAATACAGAGACCTGAGTTTTCACTTTTTAAAAATTTATCTTAGACTCCATTATAAATCCTCCTCACATGGCAACGACAAGAGCTTCATATACTTTTAGCATATTTTGATATAACTAGAGACTTCTGTGGATTTTTTATGTTTTGTTTTGTTTTACTCTTCTCCGTGCATTGTTGTTAATCTCCATCCATTTGTCTTTAGCTTTACTGTTACATGTCTTTGGATTATGATGTGTAAATATTGAACTTATTACTGTTGAAAGAAATGCTACAGAACATTTGCCTCAACCATGGATATACTGAGGTGGGAAATGGGGCTCAGGCAGATAGCTAAAATGTCAGTATTGCTTGGCCAGCAAGGGACAGAGAAGAGACTACAGATTTTTTTTTTTTTTTTCCCCCTGAGATGGAGTCTTGCTCTGTCACTCAGGCAGGAGTGCAGTGGCACAATTTCAGCTCACTGCAACCTCTGCCTCCCAGGTTTAAGCAATTCTACTGCCTCAGCCACCCGACTAACTGAGACCACAGTATCCACTACCACATCCGGCTAGTTTTTGTCTTCTTCGTAGAGACAGGGTTTCGCCATGTAGGCCAGGCTGCTCTTGAACCCCTGACATGAGATAATCCACCCACCTTGGCCTCCCAAAGTGCTGCGATTACAGGAGTAAGCTACCATGCCCAGCCACAACCAGATGTTTTATTCCCACTCTGTGCTCTTTTAACTAAGTTACGCTCCTACCAAATACAAATAAATGACAGGTTTTTCATATCTGAATACCTCCCACTCCACCTACTGTGTGATTTTGGACTGGTGTGGTCAGTTTACCTGTCATTACACATCCTACATATACAGGAGCAAAAAAGACATGAAAATAGAAACTATTTGAAGAAGCGAAAATCCTGTGCAATTTTCCCACCTCTTTGCCTTTACTAATACTGTTCTCCAAATGTCCTTTCTCTGTATGTCCTTAAAGCTGTGCTACTCAAAAAGGTGGCCCATGGATGGGTGTCTAAGAAATGCTTATCACTTTGGATGAGACAAGTTCGGGAAACAAAGAATAAGTATTTAGAAACTAGTATAACAATTTAAAAGAGTAATCAGTGAACGGTTGACTCTAATGATAAAATTTCATCTTCCATTTTATTTTACATCTTTTATTTCCCTAGTAATTAATTTTAACTGACTCTAGAAAAATACTGTTCTCCAAGAGACTGGTAGGAAAATGGTCTTCCACCACAGAAAATGTGAAAGGCACTGGTTTAAAGGGCTCAGATTTGAGTGCCATCAATTCTTCTACAAAGTATTCCTGATGCTCCTAATAAATAGAGCTTTTAAAACTTACAGCTGGGAGCGCCGGGTGCGGTGGCTCACGCCTGTAATCCCAGTACTTTGGGAGGCCGAGGCGGGTGGATCACGAGGTCAAGATATCGAGACCATCCTGGTCAACATGGTGAAACCCCGTCTCTACTAAAAATAAAAAAAATTAGCTGGGCATGGTGGCGCGTGCCTGTGATCCCAGCTACTCAGGAGGCCGAGGCAGGAGAATTGCCTGAACCCAGGAGGCGGAGGTAGCGGTGAGCCGAGATCGCGCCATTGCACTCCAGCCTGGGTAACAAGAGCGAAACTCCGACTCAAAACAACAACAACAACAACAACAAAACTTATAGCTGGGTGTCATGGTTCACGACTGTAATCCCAGCACTTTGGGAGATTGAGGCAGGTGGATCACCTGAGGTCAGTAGTTGGAGACCAGGCAGGCCAACATGGTGAAACCCTGTCTCTACTAAAAATACAAAAATTAGCTGGGCATGATGATGGGTGCCTGTAATCCCAGTTAGTTGGGATGCTGAGGCAGGAGAATTGCTTAAACCTGGGAGGCAGAGGTTTCAGTGAGCCGAGATCATGCCAGTACACTCCAGACCAGGTGATAGAGCAAGACTCTGTCTCAAAAAATAAAAATTTAAAAATTTAAAAAATAAAATATAACTTACAACAATTAACCTAAGCCTTCTCATAATTTTTATCACTTTCTTCCTACACTAGTAATTATTTGTATGCTTGTCTTATCTCTTCCTGAACAATTTTAACCTCACTGAGGACAGGTCATGTGTCCTCAGACCTCACAATTGGCATACAATCCATAAATTTGCATTCTATTCATGGACTGGAAGAATTAACCATTCAAAGTTATTCACAGATTTGAAGAGGGGAAGATTAAAAATACAAAGAAAACATCACTTCTTGAACTCAGATAGAAAAAAAGATTCAGAGTACAGTCTGGAAATTAGATATTAGACAATATCCAATTCCACGTTTTTTACATGAATCTTTAGACCAGTGAGAAATGGGAACATACACAGAAATCCTATTTCTGCCTAATGGGAAGCTAATAAATTGTTAAAAAAATAAGTGTTCTTATTTTTTATTTTTTTGAGACAGGGTCTCACTCTGTTGTCCAGGCTGGAGTGCAGCAGCACTATTATAGCTCGTTGCAGCCTTGACTTCCCAGGCTCAGGTGATCCTCTGGCCTCAGCCTTCTGAGTAGCTGGGATCACAGGCACATGCCACCACACTCAGCTAATTTTTGCATTTTTAGTGGAGACAGGGTTTTGCTATGTTGCCTAGGCTAGTAAAAAATAAGTCTTTTTTTTTTTTTTTTTTGAGACGGAGTTTCGCTCTTGTTACCCAGGCTGGAGTGCAATGGCGCGATCTCGGCTCACCACAACCTCCACCTCCTGGCTTCAAGCAATTTCCCTGCCTCAGCCTCCCGAGCTGGGATTACAGGCAGGTGCCACCACGCCCAGCTAATTTTTGTATTTTTAGTAGAGATGGGATTTCATCATGTTGACCAGGATGGTTTCGATCTCTTGATCCGCCCGCCTCGGCCTCCCAAAGTGCTGGGATTACAGGCGTGAGCCACCGCGCCCGGCCAAAAAATAAGTCTTAAAAAATAAAATTTGTACCTAAAGAAACTCTAAGGACCACTGAAATTTTAGTACAATCTAAGTAGACATCACATTTATGGCAGTCTTGCAGTGCAAATCCCGCAATTACTTAGCTGTGTGGGCCTCTATATCAACTCCCATGCATCTGTACTCAAATACTTTACCAGTAGAGTTGACAATACTTCCAATGACTAAGCAAGGAAATCGGAACAAGATATTTACTTTGGAAGTCAGCTCTAGACCCCACTCACCAAAGTATTCATCAGCAGGTGGATTTTCCATGTCATACAGCATCTTTTTGGTCAGGTGCTCAAGCTCATCCTCTGGGCGGAATGAAGGTGCAATAGGTGAAGGCCCCAGTGGCCCTGTATGTCCGCCCTGAAAGACAGAAAGCACACAGTCCTTTAACTGCAACCTAGGTCATCAACCAAGGCAGTCAGCCTGCACAGGCAGTGATTGCACTGGAGAGGAAAAAGCACTAGACGTGGCTGGCAGACAGGAGACCCGAGTTTGAGAATTAGTTTTATCACTTATTCAGTGGCTAACCTTGGACACATCTCTATTCACTTGGCTTATCTAGGTGAGTCATCTATCAGGCTTTAGAAATCCATGTTTACAATAGGAAGAATCTATTTGGTTCAACAATTACTAAGTGATCACTAGGTGCTGTTATATATTGATAAGAAAAGGAAATTGAGTCTTTCTTTCTTATTAATCTTACAGTCAAGTGGGAGAAACAGGCTCATTAATAATTAGAGAAAAACAGCTTTTCTGCAGAAAGAGCACAAGCAGGGCATAAGGTGAGACCTCTCGCTTAGCACTAGATGGACTTCCTGAAGAGACACAGCAGAGCAGGCTGGGCCTGACTCAGCTAAAAGGGAGAAAACACACAGGTAGAAGTTTCTCACACTCAGGTGAAAAAAGTCAAGTAGCATAAAGAGCTTCTGGAAGTTGTGTATTTCTGGACCACATATAAACTTTGAGATAGGAAATGAGATAAATCTTATCGGGTACAGGAGTCCAGAAAGTGAACCTTTTGGTGCTAGTTCTTTTGTTCTAGTTAAGGAAGTTGAGTAATTTCATTTTTCCAGCACTGCAAACAGCCAGATTTCAAAGAGTGATGATAAGTCAGTAGCATTGGCAATGGGTTGATGTTGAAATAGGGCGGTCAGAGCTAAGCTATGAGGATGCAAAGACATATAAAGCGACATGGTGAACTTTGGGGCCTGGGTACAGCCACGTTGGCCAGGGGGTGAGGGATGAAACTGGAGACAGTATAAACTACTTGGGTGATAGGTTCACTAAAATCTCAGAATTTACCGCTGTAAAATCCATCCCTGTAAGCAAAACCCGTATGTACCCCCAAAAATACTGACATAAAAGAATAATAATTAAAAAATGAATGGGTCGGTGAGTCAGAGGTATAGCAATGTAAGAGAATCAAATATCAATTGAGAGAGTACTTAAGATAATCAATGAAGAATAAAAAGCATGTAAAAAAAAGAATAAAGGCCAGATACTAGATTGAAAGTAGTTTTGTGCTATGTGATTAAAACGGAATTTATTACATTTTCCTTTGCCTATACATTTGACCATTTCTAATATCTCACCCCAACATTCTTAATAAAAGTGTTATAAAAACAGAAATGCTATTACTAAAATTTAGAACTGATAATCACATCCACCATGGGTAATAGACAGGGATGTGGGTTGGGAATGCTCTCGCCTTTATATTTATGCATTCTTAAAATAGATGGCCAAGAGGTTCTCAGAATGTTTACAAGAATAACTTCAACAAAACAGAAAGCTGCATATTCATTCTCCTATTATCTTCACTCTACCAAAGGAGTTCTTGGATGTGAAAATCCTGTAAAGTACAAATCCCTGAACACATGTTACCATTCCCAACATTTACTTCAGCAACTCCAAGATGGGTATTAATCATTTGTGTGACATCTAAAGCATTCGATGTCTTTTAAGAAAGTTGATTGATACATATTTGGCCTTTCCTCCAAAACAATTTTCATTTTTTTTTTCTTTTTGGTTTCCCAAAATGTAGATATTTGAAGTACTGACACACAGAAGGCTGAAAAGGTCAAAAATATCTTACGTTAGTCACTAACCTTAGCCTGAGATTTTACTGCATTGTTGAAACATTTGGATTAGAGATTAGAAAGTGATGAGTAAACTATGGCATATGCTCAGGTTACAGACAAAAAAAATTGAGTTGCTTGCCTGGATCTGAAGAACCATTATGCTAATCTCCTCTTTGTGATTCAGGGAAATTGAGACTCCCCCACACCAAAGATCAGGGAGGGCTAATTATGGTAAAGTCAGACAAGGGCTCATCTTTGACTGATTTACTTATTAGCAAACATTAAAGATTAAACTTAGGGCCTCTTCTGAACTGTACACCTTACCCGTCTTATGAGTTTGGTACAAGGGTTAGAGGAGCTACTGAATTAGTTAGTTATTCTTTTGTTTATTGTTTTGTTCACTCATTGTTCACTCATTCTTACAGGGTCTAGTTTGTGTACCTTCTGTAAGAACCTAGGAGGTTCTTATGGAACCTAATATAAAGATATTTTAGATGCAACCTTTGTTTTTGAGAATATTGCAGTCTAGTGGGGTTAAGAAACATGCACAAATAATTAATTATAAAAAGCACAGGTCAGGCGCAGTGCCTCACATTTGTAATCCCAGCACTTTGGGAGGCCAAGGCTGGTGGATCACTTGAGGCCAGAAGTTCGAGACCAGCCTGGTCAAAACTGTGAAAACCCCTCTCTACTGAAAATATATAAATTAGCTGGGTGTGATGGTGCACACCTGTAATCCCAGCAACTCAGGAGGCTGAAGCATGAAAATCGCTTGAGGCTGGGAGGTGGATTTTGAGCCAAGATTGTGCCACTGCATTGCAGCCTGGGTGACAGAGAGACTATCTCCAAAAAATATATATCTAATATCTATATATCGATACATAGATTTAGCATAGTATGTTGATAGGTGTCTGCATAAACATGAACACTGGATGAATGCTTGCCAGTATTGTTAAACTTTAAATTGCATGTATGCTGCTTGCTTCCAGGAAAATTGTGCAGAAGTACCCACACAAGTGAACAACATTAAATGACCAAGGCTGGTCACAGTAGCCATATTTGAGAGGAGGAGCAAGGACTAACAAGGTAAACTAACCAGCAAAAGAATCACCTAAACAGACAACGTTAGATCCTTACATTGTAAATCTATGTAACATGACTGCAAAGATGAACAAGAAATGTTTCACAAACATAAAATCCAATTACAGAATAGGAAAGAGAAACTACTGCTTATTTACTGATCTATATAAAGACCAGGTATCCAAATGTTAAAGGAGATTCTTTCTGGCAGGTGGAATCCTAGGGGGCTTTCACTTCCTACATTTGCATCTTTATTGTACAGCATGTAGTTATACTTTTGTAATCCATGAAATACACATTTTTTAAAACATGATGACTTCAAGTGATTAAGATATGCTGGATATGACTCACTATCCTGGAGCAGCCTTCCAACCCAGGCCAAGTGAAGGACTCTGAGAGAAGCAAAATTTCAGAGTTGAGAAGTAGTTTGGTATAAGTGGGAAAAACTGCAAGTTGTTCAGTATTTTGGGCTTGAGAGGTGGAAAAATGGGAAGAGTCAGTCATGCTTCCATGCCATGCTGACTTGTTTAGGGCTTTTCAGTGAGCCAGGGGCTCCAGGCCTTGGGTGAGAACATGGACAACTATGGACAACTCTCAAAACTAATGCGTTAAACTGTCTTTTGATAAAAAAACAAAAAATCCGTAATAAGGTACACAAAATTAACTTAGAATTTCAAGAAGTTCACAGACCACAGGGAATATATCTGCATATTCTCATTTAGGAACATCCAGACATTAGAAAACATGATAGGTACTTTTAGAAGAAGAATATTCTAATTAGATTTGGAACGTTTTCTCTAGAGTAGAGGGTGAATGGGAGAGCAGTGAGACTGAAATGAGATGGTGACTTTAGCATAACATATTGGTGGCCAGAGATAAAGGGATACATTATATGGCAGTTTCATTATGGCTAGAGACAGAGATTTGACTATGACCTCCGCTTGGCATCCTTAGGTGACCTTGTCAACCTTTTATAACTTTAGTTTCTCTTCTGTCAATGGACTTGCCAGTGGTACCTCACAGTCTCTGTAAGAATTAAAGTGGGATAACCCACATTTCACGACAAATAAGAGTTTTACTAGTTTCAGACAATTGTAACCAAGAGGATGTCTTTGAATCTCCCAACCCGCGCTGTGAGGGAGGCGATTATTACGGTTCAGGTAATGGAATTGATAATGAGGATGGGAAAGTGATCTATACCTTTTCTTTAGGCTTGCAATACGGGGAGATCTTGAGCCCAAAATATGGGGTCACCTGTCTCCTAGTGCCGTGCATTTCTTCCCCAACCAAACAATGCTTTTCATAAAGTGCTAGAAAAGTATAAAATGTTACCTCTAAAAATAATGGTGCTAGTTGTTTTGATTAAGCCAAACAACTATTAAAGAAAACCTCATAATTCCTGCCTTCACTCTTATGATGGACCCTCTGAGAACAGACAAAATTTACCGTTGTCTCAGCCTAATATCAGTTTCCCTTTCAATATAAACAAGGCAGCAAGAAAGCCGATTCTGTCCTTTATAAATCTAAGCCAGAAATTTAGATTCTACCCTTTGCACTTACATTTCAAGTATAAATCTAATTTCAAAGTACTTACCTTGTCAATATTTCACAGATTTTGAGAAAATTGTATCATTCTTTTTGTTCTCTGAATGCTCTATTTGCTTGCTATACTGTTTCTGAGGTAGCACTTGGAAAGGCTATTTTCTGTTAGAGAACACTCGTTTATCTAACGCTAATTATGGATTCCTGTTATTTCTTATGATGAACGATTCTGAGAGATCATTTCTTCCAGTATTTCTGAAATTTATTTGGCTAGAGCAGGCATCCCCAAACTACGGCCCGCGGGCCGCATGCGGCCCCCTGAGGCCATTTATCCGGCCCCCCGTCGCACTTCAGGCAGGGGCACCTCTTTCACTGGTGGTCAGTGAGAGGAGCACAGTATGTGGCGGCCCTCCAACGGTCTGAGGGACAGTGAACTGGCCCCCTGTGTAAAAAGTTTGGGGACACCTGGCTAGAGAATACCCTCCACCCCCACTCCACTGCTGTCACTAACCCAGTGCATAATATTTAACACCTGTGGAATACGTAATGGGGGAAACACAGGGTTCCTCAGTTAAGAGTTGTCTCTCACACCAAAGAAGACAGCTTAGGACTTTCAGTGTTCAAGCCTAGAAGCAGTACCCTAGTACTACTCTCACTGAC